ATGTGATCTCGCACTAGCGCTCCAGGCGGTCGACTTCGACCCGCAGCGCGGCACCGCCTTTGCGAGGCGGCTCGCGGCGCGCGGCCATGCGGGCGCGCTCGGCCGGGTCCGGCTGTCGCTCAGCATGGCCCTCTCCTGGGAGAGGCTCAAGGACGAGCGCGCGAGCTTCGCGCCGCTCCAGGCGGCGCTGCTCGGCCCGCTCGTCCTCGCCGGCCTGACCTACGCCGACCGGCGCATGCACGCCAACGCGACCCTGCGCAGCGTGCCGCCGCCGGTGCGCGCGCAGCTGCGCGCGCTGGTCGCCCACGCGCCGCCTCGCGCGGCTGCCGGCGGCGGCCTCGCCCCTCCCCCTGCCGGCTGCCTTGTCAGCCGGTGGGCCTCGGTGTGGGTCGTCGGAGAAGACGGCCTCCGACGCCTAGACGCCGACTGCGCACTCTCGCATCCCAACTAGCGCTCGAGAGGACACGCCACTCCGCAGCAGTCGCCGTCTCCGTAGCCCCCGTGTGTTCGCATGGTGCTCTGAGTACACTGCACACTACACCGTCCTCCCGCCCTGAGGTTGGCGCATGGACCATGTAGGCCTCCGCTCCTTCGCCGCGTCGCCGCCAAAGTGGTGCGTCGGGAGGGCGACGCCGATCGAGGAGCGGCTCGACACCCTCCGGCGACGGCCCGAGCCACACTACACGCTCGGCGAGGCGGCGTCGGCGGCGGCGTGCGAGCAGCTCCCGGGCTGCACGGCGGAGGGGGCGCCTCCCTTCTCGCCGCTCGGCGAGCTCTCCACGCCATGCGCAGCGGCGCGAGATTACCCGAGATCAGCCGAGATCAGCCGAGACCGCTCGAGACTAGGCGAGCTCCACGTCATGCACAACGGCACTGGCGGCGCCGTCGTCCTGGCGGCGCGGCCGAAGTAGGGTGCCTGGCCTCTGTGTGAACGGCGCCTCTTCACAGCCTCTGCGTGTGAACAGGCGAGGCCGCCCACCGTGCCTGGCCGCCGGCGCGGCGGCACCGACGCGGCGATGGCGGCGACATGGCGGCTGCGGCCCGCGACAGGGGCGGCGCCCGAGAGTGCCCAAGATTACCCGAGATTACCCGAGACTAGGCGGTTGCGGCCCGCGGCAGGGGCGGCGCTGGACGAGCAGGCGCGCGCACAAGCACTCCGACAGATAGACAGACAGACAGCAGCGCACGCACACACACACACACGCACACGCACGCACGCACGCACGCAAACGCACGCACGCACGCACGCACGCACGCACGCACGCACGCACGCACGCACGCAAACGCACGCACGCACGCACACCGTTCACCCACGTGCTGGGCCTTGCGCGTCCAATGCCATCGGGGTGGAGATGCGAGGGTTGCCTGGCCCTTGCCCCCCTGTGTGTGAGTGTGCAGAGATGTGTACTTGACCCAGGCGTCCGTGTACGAGGCCGAGACGGACGAGCAGGCGGTGCTCGAGCGCGGCTTCTTCTTGGAGGCGCTCGACGCCCCCGGCGAGGTGCTCGCCGCATCCTCCTCCGGCGTGAGGCTGGCGCCCCTTCGCGGCCGCGCCGGCGGCGCATCGCGCGTCTGGCGCCCTAGAAGCGGAGTATCCCCCCCATATCTCCCCGTATCTCCCCGTATCTCCACAGATCTCGTGCCTAGAAGCGGAGTACGAGCTCATCCATTCCAACTGGCGCTCGAGAGGACACGTCTCCCGCCGCATGCGGCCGTACTCCGCTGCACTCGCTGCATTCGTAGCCCGTGTATTCGCGCAGTGCTCCGAGGCTCGGCGCGAGACCATCTCTCCCGCCCTGACCTCGGTGCATCCCCCAAATAGGTCTGGCACGGCCGCCGGCAAGCTGACGGCCGGCTGCGGCTCGAGAGCGCGTCGACGGCCGGCTCCTTCCTCGCCGTAGAGCCTCTCGCCGGCGGCTGCCGCGGCCAGCCGCCTCTGCTCCACCGCGGCGCTGTCCCCTCCTGCGCGTGGCGCCTCACCCTCGCCTCCGCCTCCGCCGGCGCAACGCCACTCGACGTCTCGCTCGCCCCGCCGCACGCCGAGTTGCCTGCGGTGGCGTATTGGGCGGTGCCGCCGGCCGACGCGCCGCTGGGGCTGGAGCGGTCGCGCCTGATGCTTCCGCTCAACGAGATCGTCGACGAGCACTACTCGGTGTACTGGTGCCGCCTCGCGCCGGACCAGCCGCCGCCTGAGTACTGCCTGCCGTGACTACGCGCGTGCTCTAACATACTCACCCGACACCTCCGGAAGCCTATTTCCGTGGCGCGCGCGACTTAGCGTGTGCATGATCACACGAGCTCAGCGCGTGTTGGTCTTGGGGGGATGGGGGGCAGGCGGCGGCATAAAGTACCGTAGAACCCTCTGAAAAAATGTAAGAGCCCCACACCCACAACCAGCGAGCCTCGAGCACAGGGACCGTACGTTACAAGCACGCTCTACGACTAGCCGAGAGGCAGCGCGAGTTGCAATCCCACCGGCACATGGTCGCTCTCTGGCGGCCTGCGGCGTGCGCTATTATCTTTGAGTATATGATTGGGCGGACATCGGCCACCTGCCGCTCGGGCACGAGGACGAGATCGACGCGCACTTGGAGCACTTGGAGTGCAGTCGGTAACCGCACATCCAGGGCCGGGGGGCTAAGAAGCACACCCAGCGGGCCGGATGATTGGCATCGGGTTGCGGGCAAGAGAGCCCTAGCCCCGGGGGTGCGCGGTCGCAGGGCCATAACACGGGTCTCCGAGGGTTGGTTCTGCGCTTTGGGTTTCCCCTAGCTGCGGAACGCCTCCTCTACTCGGAGCTAAAGAATACTCTCCGAGGGTTGGCCCCGCGTACCAGGTTTCCCCTTAACTGCAAGGACACGGGCGAGCCCATCACCACGCTGAAGGTGGACGGTGGCATGACGGCCAACAAGCTGCTCTTGCAGTTCCAGTCCGATATGCTCGCCTGCGACGTGTCGGTGCGTCCGAGAGTGTAGACCGCCGGCCGCAAACTCTCCCACGCCTGACGCCAGTGCGCCACGCGAGTGGCCCTCTGCCAACGACTCTTCTTCTCGCCCATCGCTCCAGTTACCCCCCTCCTTCCCTCGCAAGGTCCCCGTCGTCGCCGAGACGACGGCGCTGGGCTCAGCCTACGCCGCCGGCCTCGCCGTCGGGTTCTGGAAGTCCAAGGACGAGATGCTGGCCAACTGGGCCGAGAAGAAGAGGGTCACGCCTCAGATGGATGCGGCGACGCGGCAAAAGTACTCCAAGTTCTGGAAGAAGGCGGTCTCCAAGACGCTCGACTGGGTGGAGCTGGATGGGGAGGGGACTAAGCCAGCCACTGCCAAGCCGGGGCCGCGCCAGAGCACCTTTGGCAGCACCAACGCGATGGACGGCGCCGCTGGCGCCCTGGACATGAAGGTGGCGCTCATGGAGAAGAAGCTCGATGCGGTGCTCGACCTGCTCAAGAAGAGCGCACCCGCCGCCTGAGCGCCTGGCGGCGACGGCTCTGTTGAAGAGATATGATTACCCCCCAAGCGGGTTCGTTGGTGCACACCCCGGCCCCCGGTGTGTGTGTGGTCTTACCTCTGCCCTCGGATGTGGCGGTGCCCCCTCCCTCCCCGGTGCGCGTTATACAGCCAAAGGAGAACGACAAAGCGCACCGCCAGAGAGGTTGCTGCCTCTACGTGTCGCAAACATGAGCGGAGCGAAACTCAGCCGTCGCGAGGAGCGCGCTAGCACCTAGCTAGCCGCTTCCGGCTTCTTTCTTCACCGGTGAACGAGTCTTCAGCAGTCGAGCTACAGCTAGTACCTAGGTAGGAATTCCTCAGGGCTCCGCTTGGTATTCAAGTAGTGTAAATCGGCCATAGAATTCCCGAATAAAATCTTCGTTCTACTATACATTCATTCGACAGCATTCAAACGGAAACGCGCACGCCCTGCGAGGACATCCCGCGCACAGTCCGTATAATAAAGTCCGGCACTCTATAGTGAACCAACACCCAAAACGAACGCACGGCTCACTCGCGCCACCAGCCAGGCACGTCCTCGTCGTTCGTCTTCGTCTTCGGGATCTTGAGCGCCTCGAACCGGTCGGCCGCGGCGTTGCTCAGATCTCTCACGGTCTGCGATAGAGCAAGGTTCCCCACTGCGCCGAGTCCGACTGTATGGAACAGTCCAAGCACCGCACCCAGCCCATTCGTGTTGATCCCGCGCCCCTGCTGCGCCTCGTATTTGCCCACCACCAAGCCGGTCGCAAAGTGACGCACTTTGCCCTCCGCATCAAAACACAGGCGACCGGTCTCGGTCGGTGCCACCACAGACGTCTTGCCTGGCGTCGGCTTGATGGGGATAGGCGGCACCGCGCCCCACGGCTGCCACGCGCCCACGTGCTCGCCCGTGTTGCGCAGGAAGAAGCGAACTGTCATGGGCTCGGCGGGGTCCACAACAAAACCGAACGCGTTGGCCTCGAGCTTCCACGCATCTGCAATGCCGAGCAGCTCCATCGTGCGGCAGTAGTCCGTCTTACTGAGAGGGCCCACGACGCCACCGCGAAACACGAAATCTTCCGCCATGAGCTCGGGGCGCAGGCCCGAGTAGAAGCCCGTGCCGGTGTCGAGAAACTCCTCGGTCAATTCGACCAGGCGCTCTGACGTGGTAGATTCCGCCTCACCACTCAGCTGGCCGGCTGGCGGCGGCGCGCGAACAGCGAGCGTCGAGATCGCGGTCCGCCCTGGATGGACGGCGAACACATTGACGAGAAGCGAGAGCATTCCACTTCCTCCAGAAGAGTTCACTTCCTCCAGGATTGCCGGTGCGAGCAAGTCCGAGCGCCAGTCTCTTGCTCTTGCCAGGGTTGAAGAAATCGGTCGATACCGCCATACCGGCCCTCGCCAACGCCCCAAAAAGTGGCGCAGAGTGAGGCGGCGCCCCGAGCGAGCACGTGAGCCCCGTGGCTCCTTCCCTTCCTTTTTTGAGCAGGTGTGCCGCCGCGCGAGCGACGCTCCGAGATCGCCCGAGATAGCGCGGCGCGGCGGCGGGCGGGGGGGGGGGGGGGGAGCGGCGTGGCGTGGAGCCCCGAGATTGCGCGAGATCGACCGAGATCGCGAGGCGCGGCCCGAGATCGCTCGAGCTTGTGGGCCGGACCACCCCCAGTCCTTTATCTGCGTTCTTGCACATGGAGTGCAAGATACTCGTTCTGTTGTCGCCGTTCGTCGGGGCACGCTATCCTGTGCAGTCAGGGCAAGTGGGGGCGGGGTCGGCGCCGCGATCAACCGCGCGCCAGCGGCGAGCGGCGCAGCGCGGCCACCATGCGGCGCGACGTGCCCGCCGATGTCTTTTTTTTTGGAGGATTACGGAGGAGGACATTTCTTAAAATGAACTCCGGGGGGCAAACGCGGCACAAACGAGGCACAAACGCCAGGCTACAAACACGGGGAGGCACGCGAGGGGCAGGCGTTCCCAAGGGGACGCTCCTGTGCCTCGGCAGGGTGCTCGACGCGCACGATGAGCAGGACGACGCGGAGGGTGGGCGCCGGGATTGGGAGGAGGACCCGCTCGGGTTCGACACCAACCCGGGGCTGCTCCGCGCCATGTGCATGGCGTTCGAGTGAACGCCGTGCAGGCAGCCCGTGCCTTTTGGTGTACCCCGTTTGTGCCGCGTCCTGTGCCCCCGAGTTCATTTAATAATAAGGCACGTAGTATTGGCGTCTGCAGAAGACGGAACACGGAGGGGCTGTATACGTCACGTGTGTGAGTGAGTAGTATTCTTGATACACACACGAAGGTGGGCACTGGGCTGCTGAGAGACGCGTGACGGGGTTTGCGATGAGAATTTCACAACTAAAGGCTCGCGCACACGCACAATTCACACGACAGACAAGGCGCAGCGATGAGAAGCGACTCCGGGAATGGAAGCGGGGTTATAGTGCACCGCTAACCGCCAAAGCGCAAGAGAACTGCGAGTCTGCGACGTATCGGTCTCTACTAGCACGGATTATACCTGATGCACTCCCTTTGAAGTTCTTCGATGGGTTCTAGCATACATTGAGCATGCTTCATGCACTCTTCGCTTCTCATTGAGTCGACGAACAGCTGGCAGACGAACCGGCCCTCATTCACGTTGACAAAATTGGACGTAGCCGCGGAGACGTAGCCAGAGTAGTGCACGCAGGGATGTCCCTCCCACGCCGTCTCGTTGTCGGTGCAGTGGCGGTGCTCCTCCACCTTGAAGACGGAGATGCCCCAAGCCTGATCGCCCTGCTCCGGGCCGCACGTCGACGTCGGCTCGAGGAGCGCGATGTTCTTGTGGTCCCACGCGCTTGAGACCAGCGCGTCCGCCTCTGCCGCGTCGCCCTCGATGGTCTTCGCCAGGTGGTGTGGGAAATCGGTGAACTTGACCGCCGTCTGCGGGTAGTAGTTGAAGGCAATGTCGGCGATGAAGTGGGCCGCGGTGTCGCCCTCCGTCTCGCTCGCATCGACGTCGCGCTCCTTGATCACGACGTTGAGGTTCGAGCAGAACCCAGAGGTGGCGATGAGCCAGGCGGGGTCGTCGACCACGTCGGGCACGGGAGGAGAGGGCTTGGGCGCGAAGGCGAGGCCGCGAGCGGCTGGGTTGATGTCGTCGACGGTTTCTGCCTGCGCTCTCGTGTGGTGCGTGTAAGTTCAAGCCTGCATGTGAGTAAGTGCGGCTGGGCGGAGCGACGCACCGGCAGGGCAGACGTCGACAGAGCGACGAGCAGAAGCGAGGCACTCTTCAGCATCCAGTCCAAGATGTACCCCGCGAGAGATGTACCCCGCGGCCAAAACGCCGTTTTTCAGAAGAATTCAAGTCAGTGTGTGTGTACTCACTCGCACAACGCCACCCATAAGTAGTCATGCACACCACCATGAGTATGCCGATGAACATGCACGCAGCCAGTCACCACGTCACCCAGGCAATCAATACTCGAGTACTGTTCACAGCCGTGTGTGTGTGTGTGTCACACACACTCTTCACAGCCTTGTCATTGAGAAGAAAATGGCGCTCTGCGCTGGTCTGTGAGAGGTTGTTCACACCGTTGCGCCCTGTGAAGTCATCGCTACTTATCGCCTACACCTAGGGAGCGATCGACTACCGTGTGAAGGTCGACACGGAGTATGCTAAATCGTGACAGCCAGGCTCTCGCCGAAGGACAGGAGGACATTTCTTAAATTGAACTCCGGGGGTCACTGACGCGCACAAACGATGCACAAATTCCGGGCTACAAACACGGGGAGGGCCGTAGTCATTGGAT